GGAGGAACCAGTGTCCTGTGGATACTAAGGATGATTCTGTTCTGAGAAATAATTCTTACTATCTTTAAAAGATAAGTTGTATTTCACCTCATGAAGTACTTTAAGCTTATTTTCAGAATGACAGGCTTTTGGTTCCAAGGTACAGACCTCTTGAATCCCTCAGAGCTTATGATTCATGGGGTGACAGTGAGAAGAGAGTTCAGCTGGACTGTGACCTGGAGCAGCATTGGCGGCGGGGGTGGGGGGTTTGGGGGGGATGAAGAAGCCCCTCCCATCATGGAGCTTACTCAGAAATCTCTCACTGGCTGATACTTGGTACAGATGTTCATCTCTCTCATTTTAAAAATTGTTATTGCTATTGTGTATGTGTTTATGATGTGTACATGTGGAGGTCAGAGGACAGCTCTAGGGTCCATTCGCTCCTTCCATCGTTAGACAGGTTCTGGGGATTGAACTCAGCTCATCAGGCTTTTGAAGTGTTTTTATCTACTGAGCTATCTCCCTAGCCTAAGATAGTCTTCTCTTTTAAAAATGTTTGAGGTTTTTTTTTAGGGGGGGGTGGTCACAATAGTCAAATACAATGGAAGGAATGATCCATTTATTTCTTTTGGGAAAGCATTCATTTGACTCAGATTTTAATTAGCTAGATTTCCCAGTGCATTAAGTTCAAAGTATGATAGTTTGTTACAAAATTTGTGTTTTTATTGGCTGAATTCTAGTAAATATGCCTGGCATATCTCTTTAAATCTAGCCAGAATATACCCTTTGCTAAGGTGACATTTCTATGGTCATAAGACTGCTTCCTGCTTGTCTTCCTGTCCTGACACCTGCCCTCCGGGCTTGTCACAGACAAACACAGGGCTGCTCCTTTATTCTCATCTGACAGTGGCATTACTGAGTAAAATATCCAAAAAGAAAACACTCTTGTTATCTTGGGTCATGCATACATGTTTTGATAGTATTGTCATTGTCTCTCAGTTTCTGTTACATGGTCAACTGAAAATGTTTGCCAGGTTGGCTGAACAGTTTGCATGTGAGAGGGGACAGATTCCCTCCAACACTCAAGTTCATATTTAGCTAAGAGCTTAACATCACATGCTTTTTGCTTCTAATTCTATATGCAACTGTATGCTCATCACTTTTTTCCTTCTGGTGTATTGATTAAGATTAATTTCCCAGGTGAGAGATTAGTAGGGCAGAGGGTCACAGTCTGTGCATAACTTCTACATGACTTTTCTCTACATGGACAGGTTGACAAGTATTAGTTCTTACTTGCTTTTCTCTTTTGAACTAGTGTAGAAGGTACTGAAAGCTGTTTTCATTTTAATACCTGAAACATTAGCAAAAGTGATTGATCATCCAGGGTGGAGGCTCTGTTTATAGTCTTTGTCTACTTAATGAGATTGAGTTTACCATTTTCTTTATGAATTTGAGTGTGTTGAGTGAATTTCTGAGCATTGTCCAACACTGGTTTCATGCCCAACTAGTAACATAACTGTGTCTGGGGAAATAACAAATGAATGAGGCAGTGGGCTTCATATAAGATTGTAACTAGGAGTACAGATAGATATCCTACAGAGACCCCTTGTGTTCTTCCCTTTGGCTGTCAGACTACTGACATAATGAACCCCAAAGAATTGGGATTGCCCCAGGAGTCTTGTGCTTCGGAAGGGAAAGACTTAGGCCTTGTTGCTAATCAGTGGGGGAACTTGTCTCCAAGGAAGAGATTTCACACAGAGCAAACAACTTGCAGGGCACAGATCAGAAGCAATGCTTTGTCAAGTGTTGGGCAGGACTGCTTAGTAATACGTAATTCTTGTCCTCTCTTTAAACCTAAGCCTCACGTAGTACCAAGAAGATGGACTTGTGGGTTGGCAGGGGTCAGTGGACCTCTTTATTTATTCCTCTTCCCAATGTGGCCAAGGGTACTACATTAGAACTAAGCAGCCACCTATCAGGTGGTGGCACAGAAGACAGTGTGATACTGTGGGGCTGAAAGACTGTTAGAAGAACATCTGATTCCCGTGCATTAGATAAGGAGAGCCCACTCTCATTCCTTCCTCCTTGCTGCCTAGCTTTGTCCACACTTAGTGCCACACTGACATTTGCATTTGCCCTTAGACGAATTCACCTTGTGCTTGGTTCCTGCTTCTTATGTAAGTGTGAGAGGCTCTTCACCCTTAAGAGGCTGGGGCAGGGAAACCTGTAAAGGGGAGCCCTAAAATGTCACTTGCTATTCTGAGCTCATCTATACATCTAGAAGTCTCTCCTCAGAAGACTTCCTAGTTGGTTATGACTACAGGTAACTTTGTAATATCTGACCCACTATCTCGTTTAAGCAAGAAAACTATATTACATTTTTGCAATTGAACTGAAATTTTAAGAGATGGTAAAGATTCATTCTTCTTCCCTAGAATCCTCCATGAACATTTCTGCCATTGGAGTGAGCACACCTTATCAGCTGGTCTACCAGACGTCCACAGCCTGTCTGAGCTTCTCCCTCTCCACAGGAAAGGAAGTCAAGAAGAAAGGTGAGAAAGACAGTAGTGTTTCCAGCCAGACACACATTCTCTCTCTCTTTCTCTCTGCCTTTCTCTCTCTGGGTGGGGGTGTTATACACACACCCCTATCCTTGGTGATGGTGGATTGAGAGGAGAAATGAATGACTGGATGTGCATCTAGCCTGTGCAGTTGGTGGCTGGTTAGGTTTTTATCTAATAGAAGGGTGTTCAGCTCACTGAAATGCAGCAGCCTGTGACACGGATCCTTACAAGCACCCCAGAGCTGCAGCACATCCAGTCACTGCAATCAGAATTGCATTCCATTCCCATGTGTGTACTCCACACAATCCATTCCTTCAACCCAGACAGTCTCCAGGTAGCTGTGAGTGAGACAGCTCTGTCCAGCCATACCATCAGTGGGGAAATAGTGGTATTTGTATCCCAAACTTAGCAGGCTCCAGTTCTGTGTTCTAGAAGGGGCTACTATGTGTGGGCAGAAAGCAAAGCCACAAAAGACTCCCTGACCTGTTGAGAAAGGCCCACACAGAAAGGCCCTCTGTTCATAGTCTTTGCCTACTTAATGAGGTTGAGTTTACCATATTCTTTATGAATTTGAGGAGCGTGTGTGTGTGTGTGTGTGTGTGTGTGTGTGTGTGTGAGAGAGAGAGAGAGAGAGAGAGAGAGAGAGAGAGAGAGAGAGAGAGAGAGAGAGAGAGGCTTTTGTCTTTCACAAGATGGAACTTTAAACAGTAGGTGGGAGAAAGAAGCTCCAAGGGGAAGATTTGGTGGAGAGGGACCTGTGGGGAGTAAGAGAGGTCTCAGGACCTTCCACCCACCGTGCCAAGTATGATGACAGCATGGACTAGACAGACAGGCAGGGGAGGACTGGGTAGTGAAGGAGGGCAGGGTTGACTCATTTTCCCCCTTTGATTCCCACAGACACTGGAGGTAAGGCTGGAAGTTGAAAAGCTTGAAGCCAAGTCTTCACCCCTCCTGGCTGCCTGTGTGACTTGCTTTCCTCATGCTTTGCTCTCCTTGGTAAAGGGGACTGGTTATAGGGAACGGTGGAGGCATCGGCATTAAGCCCACTTCATTGCTCTTGTTGCTGTTCATCACTGTGTTCCGCAGTCTCTGACGTGCCTTTAATTATTGACTGGCTGAGTTAGCAGCCAACCATCCCCATTGCTGCAGAGCCCAAAAGAGCCTCCTAACGTGTTCTGCAGCCCTCCTCCAGGAGAATGTGATGCTCAAGAGCTCACCTCTAAAGCCCCCCATATTTCATCCCACCTCTAACTACAGGCAAAAAGGCTATAGATGAGATCACGTCCCCTCTCCCTCGAGTTCGAACCCCTCCTGAAAGCATCATCTTCGAGATCCAGGACCCCTGCCCTGAGGCCCGGGAAAAGCTGCAGGATATGTGTCGCCACATGTGAGTGTCTAGATATGGGGATGGCATCCACAGGACTTGGACAAAAGGATAGATGGGTGTCACAGCAGTAAGTGCACTCCCCGTGTCAGTCCAGCTGTGTCCGTCTCTGTCTCTGTCTCTGTCTCTGTCTCTCTCTCTCTCTCTCACACACACACACACACACACACACACACACACACACACACACACGAGCCCATGGTCCTTCCAATTTACAGATAAGAGAAGTAAAGCAGTTCCTGAGCTCACCCAGCACTGTCAGCCCAACTCCTGTTCAATGCTCTTTGCCTCTGCAACATCCTCCTTCTCCCAAGGAAGTTTTTTTGTGTGGCTCCTGGCAGTTCATAGGCTTTGTGCCCTAAGTGGTAATTTTTTGGCTTGATTTCCTAAGTATTCAAGAAAAAGAAGTCTCCCCAAACAAAATATTTCATCCATATGGGTGATTCATAGTATATTATTTGGGAACACTGTGAGGCCTAGCAGAAACCTATTTCTCTAAGAGTCCAGCTTCATTTCACACCTAAGTCATATATATCTCCTGGGATCACCGGGCCAGGGCACAGGTAGGCAACAGCTACCCTGTTCACCTCTAGGAGGAGCCTACCTAGAACTTCAGGATGGGGGAGTGAGGGGATAGTCTGTCTCCAGCTGCTCCAGAGTTCCCTCTGTGCATAGCTCCATTCCATAGGTCCAGACAGACATTCAGACACAGCTGGCCTTTTCCAGGCATTTTCCTATTTCCTCCTAAATATACTATACTACCTTTGCATATGAGGAAGAACAGGAAGGGGATGATACTTCAGGACAAGGGGACTGGGGTGGGAGACTTAGATGCTGGGAAGGGGCTGCAGAGAACCTCTCTGGAGAGTGAGAACCGAGCGCCTAGAAGATGCGTTCATCTCCTTCCCACAGAGAAGCCGAAAGGATCTTGTGGAGAGGGAGGAATATCTCCTGCCCCATGATTTTACGCAACTACAGGGCAAAGATATCCTCTCATTTAATGGTGACCTCCAAGGGGGACACTCACCATCCTCCCACTGCGGGGACTCAGATTACTACTTCCACTCTTCACCAGCCTTCCAGCCACCATGCTCACGCGGGCCGCCATTCTCAAGAGTGGAAGGGGCCCAAGAAGCCCGTCAAGCTGCATTACACTTTCTATGATGGCTCTTCCTTCATTTAATATCCTTTTGATGGGTGTTGCTCTTTCTCCCTAACTCAGCCCCAGAGAACTCCAGGGCTTCAAACAGCTAACTGTTCAATGGGGATTCTTGGTCAACTAGAGAAGCCTGGTGAGGATGCTCCAGGGGTAAGTGTTGGTTGGTCCAGGTCAAGCTCTGGAGGGTCTAAGTTCAGAGTTTAAGTACAAGTTCAGTGTAGTTCAGATCAGCAGGGGTATATCAAGCCCCTGACACCTGTGAGAAGCTTGTCTGTGTAGGCGGGCCCCTGCCTTTAGGACTCTGCCAGGAGAGAGAAAGCTACAGACAGGGTGGTTCATTTCCAGCTGATAGAAAAAGTGAAGTGTCCCTAAATGCTTTGGAGGGTGTTTCCTGGACCCTTATTCACTAGTTGTGTCCTGTGTCCTTGTGCTTCACCTCCAAGGTCCAAGTGCTTGGAGTCTAAGCACTCATCCCATTTGCTGCACATCTGTGTGATCTGCAGCTGAGGTCTGCCTTGTTGTGGCTGAATCCGAATGTTGGGTGCAAAAGTGGCAGAAGAGGACACAGTTCCCATATGAATCCGATGGGCACTATAGAATCTTTCTAGAAATATGCACATGTGTGTATATCCACACACGTGCATATTGTGAGCTGCAGCTGCAGGGAACTTCTGGCTAATGGAAAACTGCCTTTCTGCCTGGGCTTGAACTCTAGCTCAGGAAAGCTCAGATGTTGAAAAGGCACATCCCTTCAGAGGGTGAGCCCAAGGTTTGTGCATGCCTTGGTAGGTTGAGTTGGCTGATTTTCCTACTCACAGAGATGTAACAAGTAGCTGTAATGTACAGTGGATCATTAGAACGAACTGGATAGACCATTCATGAGAGCCTCAGAGGGAGCAACTTTAGTTTGATTGCCATCTTCTAAAATTAGGAAAGGAATTTGAATTTGACCATAAGGGAAAAAAAGAGAGATCCCTATGGGAAACATGGAGGTATAAAGTCCCCTCAAACACTGTGCCTTTCAGGAATCTCTCACTTGTTCCCTCCCCAGCATCTTCTAGAGCTACACCAGATCCAGATGCCCAGCCTTAAGGCAATGTGAACTCTGAGTCCATTGGAGGTAAAGCACTTATTCCAGGTTCTGAGCTACACTGATTTCAAGGATGGGATACACAGAGTCATCTAGTTCTACTCCTTTGTTGTAGAAACAGGGAAACTGAGCCCCAAAGAGGCAGTCTGACCTACTAAATGTCACAAAGGGAACTTGGTGGCAAAGCCTCAAGAGAAAAGGGGCTTTTGTGCCTCTATTTTGGTCCTCTCTCAGATACCAATGTTATGCCCTTAAAGATTATTCTGCATAGTAGAAAGCATGTAAGGGAGACTTGGAAGGGCCCTGGGCTCTCAGATCTTCTCCCATTGGAGCAGAGGGCAGGTGTCTGAACTATCTCAGCTACTTTCCTGGGGCCATGGCACCAAACAGACTTGCCCAGCAACAGCCTCCTCACTTTGTTCCACCTCCTCTTGACTGAACTGGGCATTCAGGATTTAAGTGCATGTCAAAGAAGTCTCATTGTTTCTCTGCCCATAAATGAATCCATTCTTCACATTCTCCCAGCCCTGCCTCTCCTGCTTCCAATACAGAAGAAGCCAACTCCTTCCAAGGCAGCTGCTGCTTGAGAAGGCTGTGGTGCGTCTTTACCCCTTATTTCTGATTCTTCACTGCATTAACCAGGTTCAACACTGTGTTTACAAGTTAGCTTTCTAGAAATGGGACCAGAAAGGGGCTGCCTTGGATCTTTATTTCTGCCTGGCCCAGAATTCTGAGGTCCCCTATGTGGAACCACCTCTAACCTCTTGTCCATTGCTGCAGGAACACTTGACTTCTACTCCAATAGTGATGACATCTTGATGATTAGTCCATTTTCTCCTTGGGAGTTACAGGGGCCAGGTTCACTTATTTTCTATAGTCATTGCTTGTCTGGTTGATGTGACAAAATACCACACCGGGTATTTTGGGGAGGAAGAGTTTATTTTGTCCTCAGTTTGAAGGTATAGTCCTTCATGTCAGGTATGGTGGCAGATGTGTGAAGTGGTTGATTACAAGAATCACAGCCAGGAAACAGATGAATGCCAGTTCTCTGCTTGCTTCTTCCTTTTATCCAGTCCTGGGACCCTGGCCCATAGAATAGTGCTGCCCACATTCAGGATAGGTCTTCCTACGTCAGTTAAACCCCTCTTGGAGGAAATGCCCTCACAGATACCCCCAGAGGCTTGTCTCCTACATAATCCTAAATGTCATGATGTTGACAGCCACATTAGCCATCAGAGTGACCTTGCACACATTATTCAATCTGTGTGCCTCACTTCTCTTGGTTACATGATGAGTGAGCTGTATCCAGTAGTCTTAAAGAAGTTCTGTTTCACTGTGTTCAAAGGCTAAGGTGCACCAGCCAGCTGTTGGATCCTTCCTGAGTGAAACATGTTTGGAAAGCTTTTCTTCACCTCCTGGCTTCTTCAGAATTCTGTCTTTAGCCACCAATACTGTTTTTACACACAAGCTCAGATAAAAATGATAGGTCTTTGTTCATGGTGGCCAAGTTGGCCAGTTGCAAGCTATAGCTGATTTGAACATTCTGGTGCAGCAACCAGGTCTGTGTTCATGTCACCATTCTTCACAGAAATCAGCTGGAATCCCCTGGTTTGGACTTGTGCTTTCCTGATGACAGTGATGCTGAACAACTTTGCATTTGCTTCTCTCTGGCAAGTGGTCTTTGGAGAAATGTGTGTTCTAGTCTTTTGCTTATGCCTTGATTGTGTTTTGGTGAGGGAGTTGCTAGAACTTGAACCTAAGGCCTCAAATGTGCCAAACATATTCTACCACTCTAACCCCAAAGGTTGTTAATTTTGACGAAATCCCATTTTGTTGCTAATGCTTTTAGTTTCAACATCCATGACATCATTGTTGAATCCAGATCTTGTGTTTTCTTATATCAGCTTTATAGGTGAAGTTCTTAAGATAAGTCTTGGAGGTATTCAGGGTCAGTATTTGCATCTTGTATGAACTCAGGGCCTGATTTCCTTCCTCTGCACAGGGGTGTACTGTTGTCCCAGTGCAGTTTGTTGAAGAGATCATTCTTTCCACTTGGAATGGTCCTGGGGATCTTGGCAAAAATAGATTGACTATAGATGGAAGGATCTATTTTTAGACTCATTTTTAATCCACTGTTGGAATTTTGGTGTCTATCTTTATGCCAGACCACATTGATTTAATTATTAAAGATTTGTGGTAAGTTTTAAATCAACAAGTGTTGTGAGTCTCCCCAATTTGTTTGTTCATTTTTTTTAATTATTTGAGATTTCTTTCTGCTTTCTTTCTTTTTTGATATAGGGTATCTCTGTGTAGCCCTGGCTGGCCTGCACTCACAGAAATTTTCCTGCCTCTGCCTCTCAAATGCTAGGATTAAAGATGTGTGCAACCATGCCTAGCTTCACTCAGTGTATTTTACTTTTGTAGATATCCTTTCTGTCTCCTCTCTTTCCTGGCTTTCTGGGACTCCTGTTGTACATATGTTGGTATGCCTAATGAGCTTTCCAGAGGCTCTGAGATTCTATTCTTTCTTGGATTTTTTTTAAAGGTAGTACCTCACATTGTAGTTCAGGCTGACCAGAAACTATGTAGCTCAGGCTAGCTTAGAACTCACAGTCATTCTCCTGCCTTGGTCTCCAAAGTTCTGAGATGCTAGGTGTGAACTATCATACCTAGTTCTTTCTTTTCCTATATGATGTACAGTCTGGATAATTTCAGCTCATTGGTTTTCCAGGACAATGATTTTTTTCTTTTATTGTTTTAACTTACTGCTTTATTTGTTTAATGAAATCTTTGTTTCAATTATTGTACTACCTACTCAGCTCTAGAATTTCTGATGGGTCACTCTGTGTCATCTCTACCTGCTTATCACCTTTCCTCTTTCCATTTCTGTTTTTACTTGGCTGGTAGGAAATATTTAGGAGGACAAATTGTAATACTAGTCACTAGAGTCCTCCTACCTGGAGCACTGGCTTCTGCAATTCTATATAGAGAAGTCGCTGCTGACACTGTTCTTCTGAGGACTAGTGCTTCTTGGGGCCTCCTGAGCTACGGAAGGAGCAGAGAGAATGTATTTTTCTACTAGACTGGCCAAAAGGGGAGGCAGCCTGACAGTACTAGAAATACTGCTGGTTCTGGAGATCATGCCCTGGCTTTGTCACTCACTTGTGGTACAAGATGAGACAAGGCATGGGGTGACCTCCTCACCCTGGTTTTCCCAAGACCTTCATGTTTAAGCACTAAAAGTCTATGTTCCCGGTACCATTTAGACCTGTGAAAACCTGGACATGTGAAATGGAGAAAGGCCCTGGGGCATGGCTGGGTTCCATGCCATGCCAATTGTTTAGTTGTGACCCATGCAACGCACAGGCAGGACCTTTGAAGGAAGGGGACAATGTACAGCAGAAGAATCCTTTCCTGTGGAGGCCTGTTGCTGTGGGGATTCTGATAACCAGCTCCTGGAGAGTTCTCTATTCGTTTGACTTGACTGTATCTGCCAGCTATCCCTCCGGAAACATCGCCATGCTTCAGATTCCCACGTGCTGCAGAGGGAAACCCATCACCTGCCTCTTTAACGACGTACCTAACACCTTCCTGGCTCTGTTCAATTCTGACGGCCAGGGCTGTGTTTACTACAACCTGAAGAACAGGTGAGTAGGTCAAGGGAAGTCTAGCCTCATGAAGTATCCCTTGAGGTAATGGTTCCATATATAAGGTGATGACTTACAGTTCCTAGTTAAAGGAGTCTAGGGAGGCACTGAGGCAGGGAAGCAGTGCCTGTAAAACTTGTGGTACTTTGAGGCCCAGCTGCTGGGTACATGTTGCACTTTCCACGGTGAGAAGAAACCCACTCTAAATCCACCACTGGGTACACCAGAACACAGATCTCCATTCTTGGTCAGATGTACAGGGTGGTTTATTTTGGTTTGTTTTTGTTTTTTGAGTAAGAGTTTCTCTGTGCAGCCCTGGCTATCCTGAAACTTGTTCTATAGAACAGGTTGGCCTCAAACTCACAGAGATCTGCCTGCCTCTCTGAGATCTCCCAAGTGATGGGATTCAATGTGTGCACCACCACTATGTGGCTGATACACAGGGTTTTTGTTGTTACTGTTTTTCAGTGCTGAGGACCAGAACCTCATAAATGCTAGGCAAGTAATCTGCCACTGAGCCATATCCCCAATTCTCACCCCTGGAAGAATTCTTTAGTGGAAAAAGTGTCTTACACTAGGAACGGGTAAACAATGTGTGAATACCACTTTTGTGGCGTATTAATTACTTTACCCATTACTGTGGCAAATTAGCCACTTGAAGAAGGAAAGATTTATTTTGGTTCACAGTTTCAGAGGTGCTAGTTTGTCATAGCACAGTGGATTAGAGAAGTTTATATCATGGTGACCTAGGAAATAGAGAAAGGGGCTTACAGCAAGGGACCAGAGCAAAATACAGCCCTCCCCAAGATGTAACTCAGTGACTAACTTCCTCCACCTAGGCTTCCTCTTGTCTTTCACCACTTCCTAATGATGCCAGCATATTATGAACCCATCAAAGGATTAACCTGCTGATCAGGACCAGATCTGTTCATCTCTGAAAGCACAGATAGACCCAGAGGCATGCTCCACTAATCTAGGCATGTCTAAGCTACTCAAATTGACAATTCAGATTAACTACCACATGGGGGGTCTCTTAAGAGCAGCACATACTCTTGACAGCTAAGAGTTGATCTTTATGTAGCTTTTCATAAGTTATTTTGGAAAAAGTTACTTCCTTTCATATTTAGATGTTCTAGCTCACATTTTGGTGCTTGATATCTTTGTGACATCCTTTCTGGACTACAGGAAAAAAATCATTTTTCATCTTTTGGGTTTTGCTTCAGCCTATATTATCTACCTCAGCCTGTACCTTCTCCACAGATGCCCCACTAGCATCAGTTGGTGTAAAGAGTCTTAGACTGTAGTGGGTAGAAAGGTGAAGCTGGTAACAGGAGTCCAGATTCTTTCCTTCCCTTCCTCTAGTTTATGTCAGGTAAACATTCCTTCAGACTGGGGCAGACTCTCCTAGCCCTGCCTGCCTGTAGCCAAAGTGATGAGGGAATTCTTTCAGAGTCTATAAGTAGTTTCTATCTTCTGTGTATCTTCCAGCTGTCCATATGTTGTGGTTTTGGATGAGGAAGGTGGAATCACAAATGACCAAAAGGGCTACATAGTCCATAAGTGGAGCTGGGCTAACAAGACTGAGACATTGCTCTCTCTGGAATACAAGGTATGTGGGCATCATCGGTAGGGGGTGGCTTCCACAGGCTACTCAGCATCAAAAGGCAAGCACCTGTAAGACATCACTGCCCTAGCGACCACATGATCTTGTTCAGAGGTCATGAGTCAGTCAGTAGTGGTCCAGAGTAGACTCACTTGCTTTTCACCAGCCTATAGCAACTACTTTACTGGGCTACTTTACTGATCCTTCCTATTTGATTTTTATTTATATTGTTCCATTTTATTGTAAAATATTCATTTTATGAAACAACATTTTATAGTAGTTGACAACTTAATTTTTAATATCTTTAGCTTTTAGTTTTTTGGAAATTGATTATATTTATTTTGTGTTATATAAAACTGGCTAGTAAAGAACTAAGCAATACTTGAAGAGTTGGAGAACTTGGGCTCCTTTTATGCTAGCTCTCCTAGACTGAGCTGTGCTCTGTGAGTCTAGTTACTGCCCACTTGTAGCTGCTTACAGTTTTTATAGGCTTGTAATTTTCTGCCTGCATGGCTGTTTGCAGGTAGTCTTTGTGTTTCATGACCAAGAAGGGAAATTTTCACTGTGCTTAAGCATGCTTACAAAAGCGAATAGTATGGGTATCGGTTAGGACATTCTACCTTGAGTAAGCAGGACTTGTTGTCTAGTCAGATAGCTAGCTGTACCAGCAGGGGCACAGAAACAGAATTTGGCATACTTATGCTGGAAGCAAGGCTTTAATTAATTTGTCTCTGTATCTCTATAACTCTTAAGCCAAAATTGTTATTCAGCTATCAGAGTGTGAGACAGCAATTTGACTAGGTAAGGAACATACTTAATAAACGTACAGCATATATTTATTTATTTATTTATATGTGCATGCACGTGCGAGCATGAGGGCATGTCATAACACACACATAGAGGTCGGGGACAACTTGCAGAGTTCGTTCTCTCCTACCATGTGAGTCCCAAGACTTGAACTTGTCTGTCTTGCAGAATGCACCTTTACCCACTGAGCCATCTTGCTGACCTTATAGTTGTTGTTGTTTTTTTTTTAATAGTGCCCACTGTGTGACTTTCCTGGAAGATGTGAATAAATGTCTATTTCACCCTAGATAGGGCATGAATGCATGACCAAAGAAATGGTTCTACCATAGTCTAGCTTGACAAACAAGTTTATTGGAGTTACTGATCAACTTATGAATGAGAGTTACTTGCAAAGCCTGAATGACTCAAAAGCAACTAGCTGCATTAGTAGACATCTATCTTGTCCTGGTTGATAATCCACAAAAGATGTATCCCTGGAGTTCTCTACACAGCTTGTAGGCAGCTAGACAGGTACTAGAGTCTCTCCAGACAGCTTAGCTGGTCCCAGAGTCTCCTCCCCAGAAGTTGTTTATCTCTTGTATAATGAGGCAGAGGCCCTGTGAATCTTTTAAATTTCAGTTTTTCTAGATTTGCAAGCTTATTTATTTCCTAAATATTAGGAGCCTCCTTCCTTCTTCCAGGACAGTGTTCCAGTTCAGGGGAAATTGCTGCACAATAATGCCTATCTGTGGCAATAATGCAGACAGGCTAGCACTGAACTCATAATCTTTCTGCTCAGTCTTCTGAGTGGTACGATTACAGGTATGCACCATCATGCTCGGCTTTTTAGCATTGTGCCTTACTTTAGTTCACCCTGAAGCTGCACAGCAAAGGTCTATGCAATCAGAAGCAGCCTGGAATAGAAAGTAGCCCTTGAGTTATAACATGGAGTGACAGTGTATGATGATTCAGAGGTTGGGAAGAGAGGAGGAGTCTAGATAAAATGAAAGAATAAACATTACTCCTAAAGGCTTTATGTTGGAGGGCCTGGTGTGGCACCCACCTTTTAAGAGTTCATATGTTCTTCTGTAGGAAGGGGACAAAAGGAGTAGATGACATAGGATGGAATGACAGGCACCAGGTGTCAGGCTCTGGGGAGTTGGTACGCTGTCTTTAACCAGTTTTAACTCAGATACTGGCTATTTCTAACTCCCTTCACTCTGCCATCCAAATCTAAGCTACTCACTGCTATTATTTTTCTTCAACTTGAAGAACTTCTTTGGCAGTTTTATAAATACAGATCTTCTGGCAACAAGTTTGCTGTTGTTTTCATGTGAAAAATGTCATTGTTAAGGGATAGTTTTATGAGATATGAGATCCTGAGTTGACTTTATTTTTTGCTTTTAACATTTTAAAAATAGTGTTCATTATGCCTTCCCTCCGTAGTTTAGGATGAGAGTCTGCATCTGTAGTTACCCAAATCTGTTTGCTTTCTCTGGTTGCTACTTTTTAAAGGTTTTCTCTTGGTTTCTAGGATGCTGGTTAGCTTTTATCACTTTAACACAAACCTAGACATATCTAGGAAGAGAGGGAATCTTAATTGGGGAATTGACGCTCATATCGGATTGGCCTGTATACAAGTCTGTGGGGGTATTTTTTTTAACTAATGATTGATGTGGGAGGCCCCAACACACTGTAATTAGTGTCATCCCTGGGCAAGATGGTCCTGGGTTGTATAAGGAAGCAAGCTGAGGGGCTGGAGAGATGGCTCATTGATTAAAAACATAGGCTGCTCTCCCAGAAGATCTGAGTTTGATTCTCAGCATCCCTATGGCAGTTAACATCCATTTGTAACTCCCTCTCTGACCTCCATGAACAGTGTATACACATGGTACATGGACATACATACAGGCAAAACACCCATACATATAAAATAAAGATCAATAAAAGAAAGGAAAGAGAGCTGAACAAGTGATGGGGAGCAAGGCGGTAAGTAGCATTCCTCCATGGCCTCTACTTCAGTTTCTGTCTCCATGTTCCTGCCATACTTGAGTTCCTGCCTTGACTTCTCTCAGTGATGGACTGTGATGAGGACATGCAAGTCAAACCCTTTCCTCCCAAATTTGCCTTTGGTCAAAGTGGTCTTCATCACAGCGATAGAAAACAAACTAGGACACTTAAAGTTTGATGATTTGTTTAAATATGACTGTCGTGTTTATTCTATTCATTTTTGAGCCTTTTAAAATTGTTAAGTATATGTAAATTCATTTACTCAAATTTGGAAAATCTCTTACATCATTCCTAGATGTATAAACAATGCAAAATGCAACTGTGTCCCAGACTTTCTCCTTTTCTTTGGAGGTTCCAATTATATGTAGGGGTTTTTTTGTTTTGTTTTGTTTTTTGTTTGTTTGTTTTTTTGTTTTTTTTTGAGACAGGGTTTCTCTATGTAGTTTTGGAGCCTGTCCTGGATCTCACTCAGTAGACCAGGCTGGTCTCGAACTCACAGAGATCTGCCTGGCTCTGCCTCCCGAGTGCTGGGATTAAAGGTGTGTACCACCACCGCCCAGCTTGTAGTTTATACTTTTAAGGTGTGTGTGTGTGTGTGTGTGTGTGTGTCTGTCTGTCTGTCTGTCTGTCTGTCTTTGTGTGACACATGTATACAAATACCCATGAAGGCCAGAAGAGGGCATTGGAATCCCCCACAATTGTGAGACATTTGATATGGATGCTGGGAACTGAACTCCGGTCCTCTGGAAGAGTAGCAAATGCTTTTAATTCCTGATGTTCCATGGGTCTTTCAAGCTCTTTTTTGTTGTGGTTCTAATTTTTGTCTCTTTGCTTTTCAGAATTGTGTGATTTCTCTTGATCTGTCTTCAAGTTCTCTAAATTCCTTGTCATCTCCATTTTGATTTTGTGATAATGTTATAAAAAGTTTAAATTTCAGTGTTCTAGAATTCTCTTTAGTTTTATTTTTTTATCCTTTTGCAGAGAACTTCCCTTTTAATAATTCACAACAAGATTATTTCCCCTTATATCACTGAATATTGGTACATCAGGTGTTTCAGAGTATAATGTGTGGAGATTTCTGTGTCCTGGTTGTGCCAAACATGGTCAGCTTCAGTCAACAACCTGTTGCCTTGAGAATGGCTCATGTTTTACTAGTCCCTCTTCTACCATAGAATTTTGGCTTACAGACTGCCACTGTTGTGCTGTGGACTCTTGGAATCCTGGTGTCTTTCTGAGAGTGATATTGACTGTGCTTGTTCTAAGAGGCAAAACCTTGGTCAAGCTGAAGCTATGAACCTTTCCCCGTCGGTGGTAGACAGAACTCAAACCACAGCGTTTTAAATTGCTCGACCTGTGAGCTGTCTTGAGACTGCCTTCTCATGTAGGGTTCAGGGACTGGCCAGAGATGTAGGCAAGTTTGTACATATAGTTCTAGACTTTCCACAGACTCAGTCCTTTCCAGAACTCTTCTGTTGCCCCTGTTCTGTTCTTTGGATTCCTTCATCAGAAGGTGGTAGTTTTAGCTATGACGGTGGCCTCTAAGCTAGAGCTTTGAGACAGAAGTTCCTCTCACGCTCATCCTTAAGTTTTAGCTCTTCAAAATCTGCCTGGGTTTGCTCACTCTTCTGAGCCACTAAGTAGTTGTTTTGGGGGGTTTTGTTTTTGTTTTCTTCTTCAACTTTTTAGTTACCTGTGGGAGGGTCAACCTGTTAAGGGCTGGTTCAGCTCTACTAGAAGTAGGGCCAGCTGCTTAGATTTTAGGCTGAGAGTTGTAATGCTCAGTTCAGCCTCAGTGTAATAGGTCAACAAGAGGGAGAGAACAGATACAGAGAACTGACTCAGTGCTTAAGACTGTGTACTGCCCTTGTAGAGGACCTGAGTTTGGTTTCTAACACCCACATTGGATGGCTCACAATGACCTGTAACTCCAACTCTAGGGGATCCAAAGGCTCTGCTCCCCCGGGTACCTGTACTCACATACACATAGTCCCCCAATACACATAATTAAAAATAATCCTTTTTTTTTTTTTTTTTTTTTTTTTTTTTAGAAAAGGAAATACCAGAAGATGAATGAGTGGAATGACTAGTGAGGTTACTAGCTAGACTTAACATGTCTATTAAAGATGTTGGCAGTGTTTTTTTTTTTAACAGGAGCCATTTCAACAGATGAATGCTAGCATCCAGGCATGAGCTGTAGAGATAGATGTGAATGAAGATATTGCAAGATTTCTGGGATTCAGAAACGAATATGAACATTTTAAAATTAATTTTTAAGTTAGCAAACAAAACAATGGGCTTGTTATAATATTTTGCACATATATATTACTATACCCCTTACAGTTTTAGATGTGCTGATTTGACTCAGTAGAATGCCTCTCTGGGTACCTATGACCTTATACCTGACCTGCGGCAAGAACTTGAAGAGAACAGACATGTCAGGTAGCAAATGATCTCTTAATAAGAGGAAACTTGACTGAGTTTATAGAGCATCCATATTGTAGGCTTTAGGAGAGGGCACATCCCCAGGAAGCAGGATAGTAAATAAACAATAGTTGTACTATGTTAAGCTTTATACATGTTTTAGCCCACAAAGGATGCTCAGCACCCTCAGAGAGTGGCTGAATTATTGTCTCCAGGCTCAGAGAAGGCAATCGATTTTCCCTAAATTGTCCAATTGATAAGAGGCAAAACTAGAATATAATCTGGTCCCTTAAGCAAAGCTTGAGTTCCTGAAGACATCTCCATTCTACATTTCTCTAAGACCCAGAGTGGGTAGTTTCTCTTAAATGAGAGTGGTCAGCAAGTCTGAAGCTGTCCAGAGACTTGGCACATCATGGTTTATTATCTTTCGGATACCGATGGGCCTGATCCAGATGACAGAGTGTGTGAGGCAGAGACTTAGTGATGAGAAAATGAGGCCCTGGCTACTGGGCCAACATCTGGACTAGTGGAAGTGGGAGGGGCAAAGGAGAAAACTCTCTTGATTCAGAACAGTCTGAGGTGTCTGTAGGTAAAGAGGTGTTGCAGGTCAGAACACTGAAGACTGGGAGGAATACAGTGGTAGAGGGCTGTACACTCTGTAGCCTTGGATAAATAACACTTGGAATTGGCAAACTGTTCAAAACTAAGCGAGCTGCCCTGATCTACATCCTCTGACACCATTCTCTTATGAGGGGCAGGAGCATTTATGGCTTAAAAGGACACTCCTGTCATTAAAAACCTCAGCCCATGACTTCTTCATCCTGAAGAGTTTGAGATTCAGAGGGACTGAACAGCTTGCTAAGAGAATAAGACTGAAATCAGTTGGTGCCAGAGTAGCCACAGCTGTCTGACCCAGGCTCCAAGCTGGCATCCCAGTGCAGCTGACAGGACTCAAGCTGACTCCCTGCCTGACACCTGTGCTGCTTTCACAGCTGTTTCCAGCAGTGAGTTGGAAGGGAGGAAAGGAACAGGAAAAGAAGGCATTGTTCACTTTCTCAGTTAATCTCCAAAAGGACACTGCTATTCTCTCTTCTCCATGAAAGTTAGATTCCAGCAAAGGGCCCAGAAAGAGCCTACAAGTCTCAGCTCCAAGCCAAGAAGGGTTTGTGCCTTGGGCTTGGAAGCAGGGATCCATGAGTGCTGGTTTCTTTATCTGCAGGTGAATGAACAAATGAAGCTAACAGTCTTGGGGCAGGACTCCGTCACCGTCACCTTCACCTCCATGAATGAGTCGGTAACACTCAGTGTGTCACCCAAAAGCTGTCCCCATGGCGTGGTGCATGACAAACGGGTAAGGCAAAGTAGATGAGTAGAGAAAAGCGGGTGGGGCACCCAGCCCTGACCCAGGGTGTCTCAGCCAAGCTTGCCGTGTCACAGCTCAGGGACTCCCCACTCCCTGCCATGTAAGGCTCTTCCGTATCCTCGTATTTAATCAGCTGTGAGTGGAAAACTCTCAGAAAACGGTACCGGGCCTGAACTGAGCACACACAGATTGTCCATGCCTCACTCCCTGACTAACGTAGTGGAGCAATGACTGTGTTAGACCTGCACTGTACTAGTATGCCAAGTAATCGAGAGATGGCTAAAAGACACAGGGGATGTGCATAGGTGATGGTGAATCCCACACCATTTGTACAAGGGACTTGAGCACCTTCAGGTTGAGGTATCTGTGGAGATGATCACTCTGTGAGAATGTAGATCCCACAAGCAAAGAGCAGTGGCTGTTTTCCCCATTATTTATTGAGGGAATGAAATTCAACAGAACCTTTTCGAGTCCAATCTTTCCATTCATTGGTCCAACTGTGGCCTGGGCCAAATCAACATCATGGGAAAGATCAAGCAAATGAAGAGGATGCCATCCCTAAATCTTGGGGTGTCTAAAAGGTGACACTTGGCATGAGAAATTAAACTGGGATAACCAAGAGCTCATGTGAATGCAGCAGATCACTGTAATTCCCCTGTCGATGCTTTGCTGGGATTGGTTCCTAGGGCCAGAAGCAGTTTGCCTAGTGCCAGTCCCTGTTTACACCTGTCCACCTGTGGGAATTGCAAATAGTATCCCTTCCCCCTTCAGTGGTGTCCTGGCTTGGATGATAAATTCTAAGGACCTGAGCAAGAGGCTCTTAAAGCTATGGGATATTACCAAAGTATGTCATAAGCTCTCAGGCTCTCAGAGATACCTGACTGCTCTTGAGTTACACAAAGACATGGGGCAGGCATTCATTGTAGATCCACAATATATGGAGCAGATGCATGCTGTCCTCAGAAGAAAGCATCATTCTGCTTTACCCATTGCACTTTCATTCCAGCAGCATTTCTCTTTCACTGATTTATTAAATAATTCAGCAAACATTCATTAACACTTGTAATCTGCCACAGTAGCTACTAGAGGTATAGAAATGAAGCCTCTTTCTAGTCTCTAGAACTTTCAGTCTAATGGAGGGGACAAAAGAACACATACCAATTATGAGTCCAGCCTGGTTAGCATCATGTTATAGAGGCATATGGGAACTGCTGAGACACGAGAAAAGACCGTGTTCATCAAGGCTCTCATAGAAACACCAAAGACATTCAGGTGCCTGTGAGTTCAAGCATATCAGCTTCAAGAATTATAACTACAATGGGCTTAGGTGCAGTACAGAGTAGAGTGCTTAACTAGTGTCACATGGGAGGCTAGTTCCATCCCCAGCAAAAAGGAAGTAAGGGACGAAGGAACCAAAGATGGCAGGCAGGTAGGCTATATGAATGAGCTGAGACGAATACACATGCATGTTATGCCACTCTCATGTTCCTTTGGTTCCAGGTTCTTGTTCTAATGGTCATTGTTAAATGCATACTATGTCTGACGATCTCTTGAGTGTTTCCTGAGAACCATAAGCAACTTAAAGACCATTCCAAAGAGCTGAATGAAATGACTCTCAAGTCTGTGTGCACATGTGCACTCTAAGCCTGGGAAAACTAAGTAATACAAATGTGATTTTACCTTACCTTACCTTAGTACAACTGTAGTGAGCCAGAATTAGATGCCCAAAGCTGTGCTGTTCAATATGGCCGACACAAGTAAACGTAAGTCACACAGGGCTGTTGAGCCTTTGAAGAGCAATGAGTACAAATTGATTGGAGATCTAAGTAAAAATGCATTCTGCGTTTCAAAGACTTTAATGGGAAGAGAATATAAAATGTTTCAGTAATTGCCAGTTTCATTGTGTGTTAAATGATCATTTTTATATACTGGGTAAAATAAATATATTATTAGAATTAATTATAACTTTAGGATGTTTTGAATGTGGCTGCTAAGCATTAAACTAGCTCATATTGTATTTCTACTAGACCATGCTAAATGTCCAGGGTAGCGTCTCCATCAAGGGGCTCACAAAGGCACAGTCTGACAGTGTAGTAGAAGGGTGAAAAGTTATTTAAAATGACACAATAACTCAAAGAACATGACTATCTTGGGGGCATTTAACATAAGGATAAACAGGCCGATGCATTAAAATGGCCTCAGAAAACATGCTGCATTATAGATGACAAGCACTGGTGACAGAGAAGGCTGGCTTGCCAAAAAAGCATTGTCTGTAATTGTTTCTATTTTAAAATGTACGGTGTGTTCTATAATGTATATTATAACTAGATGAGCAAAATAAATGAATAAATGTAATCATTTCCTGTGAGCAACAGAATTTTCAAACTTTGTTCTGAACAATAGGTTCAGCATTTCAAGTTATTTTTGCATGAATTCCCCAGGCTTAGATAACTGGTCATCTTAGATCCTTGGAACTAACAAAGTTTTGAAAACCAAGGAAACTTTCAGAGTATTGGGTCTGGCAAAGAGCCCAGGTTAGGAAGAGACCACAGGGCCTTAGCCCAGGCACTTCTCTGGTTGAGCCCAAGTTTCCCTGTCTGTATAGTGATGATGTGTAAAGGCCAATCTGACTTTGAGTCTATCCTAGAATTTTTATAGTCCTTTCAAACACACTATATGTGCTTGTTTGGCTCTGGTTCTGTAAAAATACATGGCCACCTAGAAAGGCTGTGACTGGGGGAGGGTAGTGTCTCTGTCATTGGGAAGCTTGTTAAATGGTTTCCCCAGACACCCATCCCAGAGAGAGCCACCTATCATAGCGACAGGCAGAATGGCAATCCCAGCTTTTACAGCCCTGAGGCCTGGCTTCTCACTAAATATTTCTATCTAGGCAGCACTTTGGAAGCGAGGCAATGCTTTGACTTAAATGCTTTATTAGCCCAGAGTGCCGTTTCAGATCCTTTTTGGAACCAGGGTGGATATAAATTACAAATAAATAAATAAAATTAGCCCAGAAGCAGTGGCTGGGACTGCTCAGAGGGAGGCTGGGACTTTGCTAGTAACTGGGACCATTCTTTACAGGGTTCTTGCCTGCAGAGGAATAAAACCAGCTTTAATCCTTGTCTAGAGTATCTGTCTACTCCTTATCCTACTCACTCCACCTGAGGCTTAAATTCTACAGAAGAAACTTTCTCATACTTCCACTATTTTAAGAGGGCAATAGAAAAGGCATAGAGCCTGCTCTTTAGGAGTCAGCCAAGTGAAGGGATAAAGGAAGTGAAAAAAATGAACAAAACCCAGACAAACATGATGGGAATAGGTAGATGTGGACATTTAGTAGAGAGCAAGTGCCATTGGCTGAGGAAACAAGGGAAGGCTTCCTGGGGGAAAGACTGACTGCAGTGAACTCTGGATTCTGAGCATGGTTTTGCAGTTCCATGGAGGCACTATGCAGAGCAGCTTCTTCAGAAACGAGACTGGCACACAGGACCTTACTGGAAATGATTGCTTTGGGGATTAGAGAAAAGAGAAGCTGAACTTCAGGGAAGCTGAAGCAAAGGCCTCTGGGATACCACAAGGAGTCCAGATGACCCATCAGAGTAATCCCAACTCCAGGTGAAAGACTGGGGCCTTTGTGCTGTGGATGACCTGCTGGTCTCTGTAACCTGGACCAAGCATGGCTCTTCAGCTAGGAGTTGTCCACAGTAGCTGGCTGGGTAGAAGCATTCTAAAAGATGTATATGCACTATAGGATTAGACTGGCAGTGGACACTCCAGAGGAGCCTCTCTGCACCCAGTCATTCAGAAAGCAATAACATTTCCTGAGCACCTTCTCATGAAATCAGAGGACACCAAGGCACAGTCCTCCTCTCCCAGAAGTTTAGGGGGACAGAACAAATGCACCCAATTGCTTAGTTAAGTGCTAACTTGTCTTGCAGTCACATAGCACATTGGAAGTCAAGGCAAGGGGTAGTTCTACCCAGTAGAATCAGAGAAGCCCTCACAATGGGAGAATCTGAGTCAGGTCTGGCTCTGACTCAGAAAGGACTGGGCCAAGAGGACCAGAGATGTATTCTAGGCAGAAGGAATAGCCACATAACCTTCAGAGCAGAGTCAGTTCTGCTGAACAGGCAGACAGCTCCCTGAAGGCAGGTGACCACTGTCCCCAACCCCTTTGCCTTCCTCCAGTCAGTTCGCAGAATCAGTACCATGGATGACAAGATGTTAAAGATAAACAGAGCCCTGGTTGAGATCAAGAAGCGGTTTCAGAAGACTGTGACTCAGTTTATGAACTCTGTGTTGCTGGCAGCAGGTAAGGGCAGAAAGGTGCATAGGCTTACTAGAAGGCCTCCTAAATCTTGGGTCACTTATCTCAAAGTTTAGTCTTCTCACCTCGTGAGCTTCAGCCTCCTGAGAGGTCGGGACCCCCAGTATTTTCTAAGGGGATTGCCTGAGAACACACGCTGGGACTAGTGGACTGAGAAACTTTAATTTCTGAACTCTTCCCCCATGTGTCCTTAGTGTCTCCATGCAATTATGTTACTTTCCTATCTCTAATAGGCTTTGTGCATCCATCTGGGCTCTTTCTGCTTTGTCCCCATACCATCTGGCATCCTTTTTAACTGGCATTTGCTCCTCTCTCTTCTGTGGATGATCTCAGAAGAAGAGAAAAATCCAGTCACTTCACGAAACTGTCCCTGCTAGACACAGAGCACTCTTGTGAGAGGCTTCAGGAGCCTTCCATGTCTGTGTTCTCTGCTCTACTGACAGAACGAGGTGCTACCAAATCATACTCTGTTACCTCCCGGCTGGGTCTGCAGCCATGCTACCCACACAGCTTCTCCAGGAATCTCTCCTGAGGAGAGGCTTAGTTCAATTATGCCCTTCCTTTGTGAGCCTTCCTTGACTCCCCTCACAAAGTAGGGCTCCCTCTCCCATTCTGATGATTCCCATGGCTGCTCTGATGGTTCTCAACACTGCTCTAGTTATAAATCTTGTTACCAGGGCTGGAGAGATGGCTCAGCAGTTAAGAGCACTGTTTGCTCTTCCAGAAGACCCAGGTTCAATTCCTAGCACCCACATGGCATCTCACAACTGTCTGTACCTCTAGTTCCAGGGGATCTGACACCTTCACACCAATGCACATAAACTAAATTTAAATAAATTATATATTTAAAACATTTTGTTACCTAGCTTTGTGAATATTTATCTCCTTGTCTGCCCATCCCCTCTGTTCTCAGCAGCAAAGGGCCTGTCTTGGGTTGTCTTTATGCCTAGCATCCTCATTCAATAAATGCTGGGTGAATGAAGGAATGTTAGGTCTCTGGCCTCAGAAATTTCTACTGGACTAAGTAGAAAAAGCAAGTAAAAAATACCCCCAAAAAATCCCACAGCACAACAAAGAAAAGGGTGAAACCAGCCTCAGTGTAGAGACCTGAGGGACAGTATTCTTAGCGAAGGGAACACATGGTGTACTTAACCTTATTGTTGAGTGCTATGAAGAACATAGAGCTGAGTGAAATACAGGGCATCTGAGTAAAGACTGAAGCTGGGTCTTGCAGAACAAGTAGAAATGAGATGTGTTTATTTGTGCTGACCACTGACTAGGGCAGTGTGCTAGATGCAGAGCAAGGCAGACTGGACAGGAGCCAGTGAGGGGTCAGTGAGCATGAGTGACCAATTGGACCAATTGGTAGGAGCCAAGAAGCAGGTACAGAGGTGACCTGGTAGTTTGGGAAAGTGACAGCAGCTTTCCTGTTGACAGGTCTGTTCACCATAGAATATCCCACCATGAGGGAAGACACAGAAGCTAGTCGGGTCAAGGTGAAATCCGGGTCTTTTCCTGATCGGAGCCGTAAGTCAAGTTTTTACCAAGGAGAAACCCTTGTGCGATCCCATTCAGCCCGGCCAGATTCCTTAATTGAAGACAAGGAGAAGGAGGAGTCTATACACACGCTCTTGATCCCTGTTCAAAAGAAGAGCAACAGAGTCCAGGCCAAAGTCACACCAAGGTTGGCTTAATCCTTCATTTCTTCTGTAGAGCCAAGGGATGTGATGGGCAGTACAAATGCAGTGGGAACCACACAAGCCCTGTGTTTGCAGCTCCCTCTCTAGGGGTGGAGAAGGATAGGAGATACACATGTATTTAAATGGTATCTTTCATTTTTTGAACACTTATTGTGTATGTGTGTGCATGTACACATGCCATGGGATACATGTGGAGATCAGAGGACACCTCAAGGGTAGTTTTCTCCTCCCACTGTGTGGGTTCCAGAGATTGAACTTGAGTTGTCAGCCACAAGCATCTTTACCTGATAAGCCATCTCACTGGTCATGATGTCATTTCGCATGGCCATGGGGCTAATAAGAAAAGGTCTCAGAACAGTGCGGCATAATAGGAACTGGTCATGGGCCAAATCTAGCCTGGCTGGCTAATTTTTACCAATTTTTAAAAGCTTTGGGGGAAACCAAAAAAAGGCTATTTTATGACATATGAAGTGAGAGGAAGCTCATCAGTATTCATTGATGATATTCTATTGGAGCACAACCACATCCACCATTTCCCATCATCTATAGCAGCTTCCCCATAGCATGGAAATGTTGAGTCCTCATGACAGAACTCATCAGGCCTCTGACGGACAGATGGGATACTTACTTTCTAGCCCACTGTGGAAAAGACTAGCCCATCCCTGAAACAGAGTGACTGTGGAGCAGACTGACTGACTGACAGGCTGCCTTCAATAAGAAGGCCAGGAAAGCTGTTCTGAAGTGATACATAAATGGAGAAGTGAAGGATGAGAAACAAGCAGCCCAAACAGATGTGAGAAAGGAACATCACAGAGCCCCAGGGGACAAGAGCAAGCTTGGCGTGTGTGAGAGCTAGTAAAAGCCGTGTGCAGGGGTGTCACAAAGGAGGCCATGGGGCTGGACGGTGGCTCAACAAGTAGAGTGACTTGTTTCCAAGCCCAACATCATGAGTTTGATCCCTGAAGCACACACACACACACACACACACACACACACACACACACACACACACACACACACACACGGGCAATGTAACTTTTTAATTTTTTTTAAAGAATAAAGCTGTGATCTTAGACGAGAACACAGGAGCAAGCAGGAGGTTGATCAAGTTACCTTGCTGTGCTAGAGATGCCGTCCCATATGTGGAAGTGGAAGCTCATCAATTTATACTATTTTAAAAATCTTAAAATAGGCATATTTGGGGGCTGGCAAGATGCCTCGGTGGGTAGTGGGCCTTGTTATCAAATCTCATGACCTGAGTTTAATCCCTAGGAACTTAGATGATAGAAGAATAGAACTGAGTCCCACAAGTCCCTCTGACCTCCACATGTGTGTGTGCCATTTATTTTAAAATAAATAGATAAGTAGAATTTAAAATGTGAAACTTGCATAAAAGAATGAGAAAATTCTACTCGCGTGGCTCGAGTGCACACCTGTAGCCACCAATTCAGGAACAGACCCTTACCCGCTTCCTAAAAGTCCTTCTATGCCAACCCAGTCTTTGGCTCCTTCCTCCCCAGGCCAAACACTGTGAACACCACAGACTAGCTTTTGTTCTAACTTTATTTGAAGGGATGTATGTGGTTTGTTTTCTTGGTGTATGACTTTTTTCATTCAGTGTTATGATTTGAGATTTACCCGTGTCCTATGCACAGCACTCATTTGTTCTTTCTCATCACTATGTAACAATTTATTCTGTGATCATGCCACAAACCACGTGTTCTAATGATATAGGTGTTTGGCTGTTCATGGTTTTTGTGCTGCAAAATTGTGCTGCTGTTGGCATTTGTCTTTTATGTGATCAGCAAATGCTAAGGTGTAAAACTGCTGAACCAGAGTATGTATAGATATGCTCAGCTTCCTGTACAGATTGGTCTTCTCCAGTGGTTCTAGCAAACGCAGCTCCCAGCCGCAGTGTATGAGGGCTCCAGTTGTTCCACATTCTTACCAGTGGATGTTGCTCTTCTTTCTCTTTAAAAAAAAAGTAGAGTGGTGTGTGTGTGTGTGTGTGTGTGTGTGTGTGTGTGTGTGTGTGTGTGTGTGTGTGTGTGTCTGTCTGTCTGTCTGTGTCTGTGTGTGGTGGCATATGCATACTTGTGGGGGGGGCATTGAATGTCCTGTCATTGAATACTCTATCATTCTCTGCCTTATTTCCTTGGAACAGGGTTTCTCACTGAGCTAGAGTTCATCTGGCATTCAGCAAACCCCAGCAATCCTGTCTCCATTCCCTCATAGCCTGTGGCCATGCCTCACTTTTATTTAGGTGCTGGGGATTTTAACTCAGGTCTTCATGCCTGAGCAACAAGCACTCTTACTTATTGAACCATTTCCCCAGCCCCTAGATTAGGTTTCATGCTGCATCTATTTTGAGATAATTTTGTATCAAGTGTTTCACACAGCATTTATTTTGAGATAATTTTGTATAAGGTACAGTGTATGAGTTGAAATTTGTTTGTTTTACACATGGCCATATATTTGTTTCCAAAGCATAAAAAAAAAAGATCCTTTTCTTCATTAACTTGTCCTTGCACCCTTCTAAAGAAAACCTATGGGTCATGTTTCGTGGGTCTCTTTCTGTACTGTTTTGTTAATAGGATCCTATGACTTTCAAATAGTGAAGCAGCCTTGCATTTCTGGATAAACTTCACTCAATTATAAAGCTCTTTCCCCTGTATTTCTAGGTACTATTTGCTAAAATCTTGTTGAAGCTTTTGCATATATACTTATGAGGGTTATTTATGAATAGTTTTTCTCTTTTGGTAATGTTATTGTCTGGCTTATCAGAGCAATACTGGCTTAATAAAATGAATTGGGAAGTACATCTCCTTTTTGTGTTGAATCCAACTCTTTTCCTTTAACTGTTAAGATTTACCATGGAACCATCTTACTCAGAGTCTCCTTTGTAGAGAAGATTTTAAAAACAAAATTGCTTTTATAAATATAGAGCTAGTTAGGCCACTTGTTTTTTTTTTTCCTTGAATGAATGTTTAGTAATTCACATCTTTAAGAGGATTGGTCATCCAAGTTGCTGGACTTATAGACATGGAGTTGTTCCTAGTTTTCCCTGGGGACCTTCTTCTGAACACTTTTATGTTTATTTGGTGTTTGTGCATACTCACTTATACCCTGGCATACAAGGGGAAGTCAGAGGACAGGAAGGTTCTTGCTGAGGCAGGCTCTCTCTTTCCTCCATGTGGGTGGGTGGGTCTAAGGGATTGAACTCAGGATGTCAAGCTTCTGGCAGGTGCCTTTACTGGCTGAGCCCTATATGACCTTCTTAATGCCTGTAGGATCTTTAGTGGCATCTCCTCACTTCTGCCATTTTTTGTTTTATGTATTTAGGACTCACTGTTCAGTGCATACAGATATAATCACTGTGTTTCTAGATGGAATATCTTCTCTCTATTATCATTTTCCTTTTTATTTACTATCAATTTTTAGTTTATTATATATGTATGTGTATGTGTGCATGTATGTGCACATGAGTGCAGGTGCTTGTGCAGGTAAGAAGAGGGGTGTCAGGTTGGATGGGCAATCCTCTTAAAGATGTGAATCCCCTGGAACCACCCAGTATGGCTGCGGGGAACCAAGCTTGGGTCTTCAGCAAGAGCAGTTCATACTCTTAACTACTGAGTGATTTCTCTAGTCCCAGCCTATAATGATCTTTTACTTACTTGTTTTCTGGTATTAGTATAACTCTCCTGATTTCTTATAAATATTATTTGCATCAATTGCTTCACTCACTGAGTCATCTGTCCAGCCCCCAACGTTGACTTTTCTAATCCACTCCTGGCTCTTCACATAGCAGCCTACTGCTCACTATAGCTGGGCTAGGAGTTTTCCTGCCTTGGTTTCTCCTTTGCATTTTCTACTTTTACTCTAGAAGTCTTTTCTGTTTGCTTTGTTTGATCATTTGAAACAGGGTTTCTAGCCCAGCTTGGTCTAGAACTCCCTATGTAGTTTAGGATGATCTTGAACTTCTAGTCCTCCTGCCTCTCCCTCCCAAGAATTGGGATTACAAGTCTGTGTCACCATACCCAGTTTGAGTTCTGGGCTTTTGAATCAGTCACAAAAGCTTTCCTTGCTCCAAAATTACAGAATATTTTGTTCTATTTGCCACTATTACAAATTGTGGGAAATTGTAAAGTCAGATTCTCCCACATTAAAAGCCTTAATCACTTTGAATATACTCTGGTATAATTCATGATAAATAGGTTCAACATTCCCCATGGATGTTTAGTTCATAAACAAGAGATGCTCTACTTTTATTATTTATTTGGTGTTGTGAATCAAATCCAGGACCTCACATGCACTGAATATGTGCTCCATCACTGTGCTCCACCCCTCTTCCCCAGATTCTCCTACTAGCTTTGCTCAGCAAGTATTTACCAGCATTAAATTTCCTCTAAAGAACTGTGAATTGTAAAGCTAGATATGGTAGTATATGGATACAGTCCCAGCACACAGGAGGCAGAGATAGGAGGATTACCATGAGTTCAAAGCCAACCTGGGATACCTGGCAAGACCCTGTCAGAAAAATAAAGTCAGGATATCCTGGGCTCTTACACAGAGACACTCTGTCTCGAAAAGCAAACAAAGAAGTGGCTGGAGAGATGGCTCATCAGTTAAGAGTACTCGCTGCTCTACAGAGGAACCAGGCTCAACTCTCAGCACTCTCAGGGTAGTTTGCGTCACCTGCAACTCCAGTTCCAGGTGATCCAATGGCCTCTTCTGTGTACTGTACACACATAAAATAAAATGAATATATGTAAACGAACTGACTGAGCAATGTGTGATAAATCATGGGCATTGCTCTCACGTTAGGATGACTTGGTTCTAACCTGAGGCCTTGCTAATTCAAAGGCTTCATTGACCTTGGGCAACCCATTATCCTCAAGGGAGAGAGGCTTCTGTATTTTGACCTGTAAATGGTAATAATAGTTTCTGTCCTGCCCATTCTATGGGGTTTCTACAAAATTAACCAAGGAAATGCTTATTCAGGGGCCATAGATCCTGTAAAACATTAAATGTGTAAAACAGCAATGATGAAAAGAGTGGGGGGAAAGGAGTACTTTACACCCAATGGTGCTGCTTTAGACTAAGCACCATGGCCCTGCATAGTGTCAGCACTTAGCAGGTGGCTGATAAATGCTGGAGTGTTGACCAATTCTCTATTGCATCTTTGATTTGCCAAGTGTTCCTATTGTATTCCACCAGTTGAAACACTGCAAGTGGCTAATCTCTTAGGACCTGTAGTGGTAGAAAAGTATACTAATAAAAATAAGAGGAATATAGAATATGTTAAACAGGAAGCAATGCTTGAGAGAAAGATAAAATAGGCAAGAAAGAGTGTTGAGGTGGAAGCACTCAATGGGGTGCTTAGAAAGTCACCAGGAAGGTGACATTCCAATAGATGTAAAGGTGGTAAGAGAATAGGCTTGCGGCTCTGGGGAACAAACAGTGGCATAAGCAGAAGTCAGTGTAGCCATGTGAGAGTACTGGGGAGCAGGGGGAGAGTACTGGGGAGCAGGGGAGAGTACTGGGGAGCAGGGGAGAGTACTGGGGAGCAGGGTGAGGAGAGTACTGGGGAGCAGGGTGAGGAGAGTACTGGGGAGCAGGGGGAGAGTACTGGGGAGCAGGGGGAGAGTACTGGGGAGCAGGGGGAGAGTACTGGGGAGCAGGGGAGAGTACTGGGGAGCAGGGGGAGAGTACTGGGGAGCAGGGGGAGAGTACTGGGGAGCAGGGGGAGAGTACTGGGGAGCAAGGGGAGAGTACTGGGGAGCAAGGGGAGAGTACTGGGGAGCAGGGTGAGGAGAGTGCTGGGGAGCAGGGGGAGAGTACTGGGGAGCAGGGGGAGAGTACTGGGGAGCAGGGGGAGAGTACTGGGGAGCAGGGTGAGGAGAGTGCTGGGGAGCAGGGGGAGAGTACTGGGGAGCAGGGTGAGGAGAGTACTGGGCTTAAGGGGAGTGAGAAGCAGGAGCTAGATCTGGTACAGCTTGCTGCTTTTTGCTGCCTTAACTGAAATCAAGCTAGAGAGCTGATTCAGTTTCTGACAGAATCCCTCACTGGCTCCAAGAGAGATGAGAGAGGGAAGTGTTAACCCTTAGGAACTACTTCCGAAATGATCGGAGGCTGGACTATGTTGCTGGTAGTGGAGGGCAGCTAGATTCTGGATCTGTCAACCTGGGAAAGAGGCTTGTGGGTGGGATTGGTGAAATGGTGGGTGTGGAGTGAGAGTCATGGATGGCCCTGAAATGTTAGCTGAATAACTTCTTATGCCTCCTTTGCACATGAGGAAATGTGGGCCTGGAGTGGTGAGGGGTCCCTCCACTGAAGGACTGGACCAGGGTCTGCCTACAGCCCTAGCCCTGCAGTGGGCCTCTTTCTGTGTAGAAACAAGAGCTGTAGGGGCAGAGGTTGAAGGCTGCCCACAGGCTCCTACCACTGTGTTCCTCTTTGTAGAGGGAAGCCGAGAGAGGTACGCAGCCCCACCAGGTGGGCAGCCTCACCCTATGACTGCCCACTGGTGCTGCGGAGGCTCATTCACAAGGAAGACATCCGAGCCGGCTGCAAGTGTATTGTGAAGGCACCCCTGGTGTCCGACTTGGAGCTAGAGCGCTTCCTGTCTGCACCCCGAGACCCCAACCAAGTGCTGGTATTCGGGATAATGTCGAGCCAGAATCCCAACTGTACCGCACAGCTACAGTGGCTGCTGGACACACTGTATAGCCATCGGCAGCAGGGCCGTTCCTCACCGTGCATCCAGGTTGGTCCAGAACCCGGTGAGGAGGTCCCTTGGGCCAGGGCCAGGGAGCAGAACCAACTATAACCCCCACTGTGTGAGGATGGGTTAGGTGTCTAACAGCTCCCTGTCTTTCCAGGCCCGTGGCCAACACTCCCCTTTCTGTCTGCAGCCTTCTGTTCCATCTTCTCTCTTCTGCTCATCTCCTCTCCCAGGATGAATGTCACCACATCAGGGCAGGTGCTTCTTCTTACCTTTGAGACAAGGTCAAGGCAAGGTCCTTTTCATTCAGAGCACTTGGCACAGTTTGTGGCCACAACTGGTGTGCATGTTCAAGGAAAAGACAGTGCCCATCACCCATGTTCTTACAGTTCAGTATATGTTTGTGGACTGTCCCAGGTCCCTCCGTGTGCCGGCCTTGTTTCAGTGGTTCAAGAGCCTACCGCTGGTTCAGCATGAGCCAGTCCCTGAAGGAATTCCCAGTATGGCTGTAGCCACAGCAGCATGACAGGACAGATCTGGAATGCGTGGCTTCTGTCTCCTGGGGTCAGGATGAGCCTCCTAGGATGCTCGGGGCTTTAGCAGGCAACTGAGTATCCCTGGCAGTGGCTTGTGCAGGGATGAGGACAGTTTGAGGCCCCAGTTAGTCTCAGGGCTAGGTGACTTCTTCCAAGCTGTCCTTCCCCTTGAGCCTGTTATGTTATCCCTGCCCTATTCCTCCTAGCTGCTGCAGAGTTCTGAATTTGTGTGAGAAATCTGTGGGCTCTGCCTGAACACCCCTTCTAGACTTTCTCTCTAAGAGTGCTGCAGCCAAAGGGCCCTTCTCAAATCAGATGCCCCCTCCCCCACTGGGGCCCTTCTCTTGGCTCCTTTCAAGCGAGCAGCCAGCCGCAAGCCTTTCACCCAGCCAGGCAGCAGAGCCACACTTGTTTCAGGCATCTCATTTCCAGCTTGCTTCAATTTAGAGAATGTTCCCTGAGAACCTGCTCTGGGCTCACCTCGTTCATGGCAGACACAATCCCTGTCCTCATGGGAATGTACAGTTGGCTGTAGTTTGTCTGGGGGCTGTTGATTGTTCACTAAGGAATAAAATGCTTAGATGTCTTATTCCAACCACACACAGTGTGAATGGGGCCAAGATCTGACCTGAAGTAGTTGGAAGATGGGCTTGGGGAGTAGTGGTGAACTTCCCAGAGACTTGGCTTCTGCTCTGGCTAATAGCTGGTCATTAATACTCTCATCCCATGATGGCTAAACACTGCAAAGGGGTCAAGAGGGGCAGCCAAGTGAGAGGTGGGGTGAAAGGCCCCTCTGGGCCATGCAACATAGCTTCCTGAGTCTGGTCCATGTGGAGCAGGACTCCTATCTTGAGACCTTCCAGAGTGAGGGACATCATAGTCCATAGACCCCAGGGCAAATGAGTGCTGTCACATGAAGAGGAGTCCCTCTGGTCATGGCTCTCCCACAGAGGGCTGAGAGCAGATCTGAAGACCTGCTCTGGGGAAAGGGATGGCTGTGGGGAGGTTAACACGTACCTTCTTGCACCAGGGTGACCAGTTCCCACATCTCTGTTTGGCAGTGCCAGCATGACCCTTACCGCCTGCTGCGGTATGACCTGGACAGCCCCCTGCAGAAGGATCCACCCCTAATGGTGAAGAAGTTTGCTGTGGTACATGGGATGGTTTTGGTGAGCAGGGGCCCTGCAAAGGGCTAGACATCTATCACCAGCCACTACTGTCTCAGCCAGATTGGGGGGGAGGGTACAAAACAAAACCTGAAGATCTTCTCCCACCCATGCTGAGGCTCAGAGAGCAGGACTTATTGAGAGTCACCCAAAAGACTCCCATCCCCTTCCCAGGAGATGGAAGGGTTGGGTGACATTAACACAGAGAATCAAATTCTATTCATCTGATTGTTATTAAATTATACTAAAATATTATAAAACCATGTATGTTCATTGAAAAATCAGGTATACAATCTAGAAAATAATGACACCCTCCTGCTACCCAGGATCTTACTCATCTATCCAGCAATTAAGTTCTGGAGCCCCTGCTAGGCCACATCCACCTGACATTGTAGTATCTGGCCTTTGTTGTCTTTTTCTACACACATACTTTAGGGCACTGTCTTTCCAATAAAGTGCTGTCCCACATCTTCAGTTGGTAACACCAGAATTTTTACCACTGGACGTGAGTCTGTCTTGTTATCACTATCCATGCTGCTTTTTTGGACAGTTAGGTTCTTTCCCTCTCTCCCTTCTTGCTATTTTTCTTTTTCCCTATAATAATGGTATGGTGATACCCTTGCCTAGCATCTGTAGACAGCTGTCCATGGTGGAGAATGGTAGACACAGAGAGTAGAGGGTATGAGACCCCCATTCCATAGGGTGAGCTGATGGGTACATCCCGATATATGGGTTTGAAGCAGAGGGGGCCAGACAGATGTAGGTAGGTGTGTAGGAGTCTTGTGTGCAGGGTAGAACGTGACCTTCCTTCCACCCTAAGGGAAATATGAAGTGTACATCTGACAGGGCCAAAAGCTGGGCAGGTTGGGCTGCCCTCTGACTCAGGAGGGCCCGTGCAGGGGCTAGGGTCAATCATGTCTCCGTGGGTTGCTGAGGAGGGTAGCACACTTTCCCATGCTATCAAGGGCCTAACCTAGCTCTGAGGAGCCTGTGGCCAGTCCTACTAAGACTTGGAACTTGGCTGTCATTATCAGTCATGCCACTATGTCAGTATACTGACGTGTTTCTTATTTCATTTCTTTCCTGTCTTCCAACAGATGTTTGCTGGGGGGAAGCTCCTTTTTGGGGGCTGTGTCCTAAATGGCTATGGCTTCAGCAAGCAGAATCTGCTGAAACAGATCTTCCGGGCTCGTCAGGATTGCAAGTTGGGCTACTTCCTGCCAGACAACTACAAATTCAAGTAAAACTCGACAAGGCATCCCACAGGGAGGGATAATGGGGCGGGGGACCTGGGCTGTGGGAAGGCCCTGGGTGGGAGAGCAGGTGGTGGGAAGAGCCAGCGACAGGGAAGTAGGGAGCAGCCTCTTCCTGCAGTCCCCTGAGCAAAAGCTACAGCAGGAGGGTTTTGCAGGGGGGAGGCGAAGAGGGAGAGCAGGCAGGAAGAGGTGAGCAAGTTCATGCCGTTTTTCTCTTTGAGCTGAAAGTTTGGATAAAGGGCTATGTGGGGAAAAGAAGTTACTGCTCGTTTGCTCAGTGCTCTGTTCAGCTGGAAATAGTGGAAAGATGTCTCAGGGGCAGGAGGCCCAGTCACACCCGTCAGTTCCAACCTGTGTGCACATTCAGCTTGGCTTCTCTTGGGTTGCCAGGTGGGTCCCACAGACACAGTGCTTGGTGTAGGAGTAGGCTTGGGTGTAAGCATCCAACTAAGGTGCTGCCACCTACTAAGCATCTCCAGGCTGGCTCTGGTGAGTGGTAGAAGGCAGTCTGAGCTCAGGACACTCTGCAGTGCAGGTTCCCGGAAAACCTGCTAGCTTGGGGGGTCCTAAGACAGGATTGGAGCCCTGGCTTTTTCTGGCATTATCTGGGTGACTGTCAGGTGGACTGATCAGGTGGGCTCCCAAATCTTTAGCTCTTTGCCTTTAAAATGAAGATAATAATCAGTCTTGCAAGACTGTAAAGATTTCACAAAAGAGTATTTGTTATTAACAAGCTCTATTAGAGGTAAACAATGATGAAACCCAGGATAATATCTGTAATATCTGTCATGTGTAATATCTGTCTGCAGACCTGAGCTATCTGTGGCACACTCCTACAGCACCAAGTTAAATCCCCCATTCCCACACAGACCTGCAGTTTTCTATCTTTTTGTTTGTCTGGTTGGTTGGTTGGTTGGTTGGTTTTTCAAGACGGGGTTTCTCTGAGTATCCCTGGCTGTCCTGGAACTTGTTCTGTAGACCAGTCTAGCCTCAAACTCAGAGACCCCAAGTGCTGAGATTAAAGGTGTATGCCATCATGCCTGGCTGCAGCTTTCTGTCTTGATGCCAGCTCACCCCAGGGAACTGGGTTGAGTTTTTGTCAGTCTGCTTCACCCTGAGATTGGGGATACATTCATGGAAAATCCATGGAGGTCACACTAAGTGACCCCAATATTTTGGAGTACTCAGTGTATAAGGCTGGAAGACAAGGAGCCTACAGGGATAAGACAGGGCAGACAGAAAATTCCGAGTGTTCTGAGTCCCCATCACTCAGAACACCAAGAGAAGGGGGTGGAAACCGGACATTGGCAGGTCCGGGGAGTCACAAAGCTGAGTTTCAGGAGCTGTTCACAGTTGAAAAAGAATGTGCCAGATAGCCAGGTGGTGGTGGCGCACACCTTTAATCCCAGCACTCAGGAGGCAGAGGCAGGCGGATCTCTGTGAGTTCGAGGCCAGCCTGGTCTCCAAAGCAGAGTTCCAGGAAAGGCGTAAAGCTACACAGAGAAACCCTGTCTCGAAAAACAAAAAAAAAAAAACAAACAAACAAAAAATGTGCCAGACATACATTGGGTCTTACTGGGCATTTATGTTTATAAACTCAGCACCTTGGATTCCCAATATTTAAAAGATACTAGGAAACTGGAAAGGAAGATGGATTTATTTACAGTTTGAACAAATAAAGAGATGTCTAATTATATCCCCTACCGTGCTTGTGGCCACCTTATAGTTTATGGAAAGCTATGAGACAAAGGATATGATATATGAAAATTTGCCTGTGAGCCCAGAGTTCAGCCCCCTAACCCAAGCCTTTGGGTCCTAGGTGGGAGGGCACAGCAGGCCTGTAGCTAGACAGTCTCAGTGGGAAACACATGCAGAATGTGGTCCTGACATGAGCAGCCCTGAGTGAAACTGTGTCCACCTGCGCACAATATTCACACTTAACCCCTGCCTCCCTCACTAGGGTTGGGGACAGCTAAGGGAAGTCATGTGTGGTTTGCAGGCCCCACTACCTATGTCTGTGAGCAGAGATGTGTTACCCTGCCATGCTCACGCTCCAGTGAGGATTAGGTACAAAAGGGACCAGGATAGGGCGGTGTGAGATATCCAGGGAGGCTAAGGGATGGGAGAGCAGACAGAGAAAATAGTTTGTCCCCTGGAAACACAAAGGGGCTTAGCCTGCAGCAGCCCCAGAAGGTAGGTGTGTATATGTCCCCCACCCCAGGTAGCAGTGAAATGGCTAGTGGACACATCTCGTCTCCTTCCACCTGGGTTCTTACCCTACCTTCCTCCAAAAATGGAGTGGGCAGCCAAGGAAGACAACCAACAGGAGGTTGGTTGGTTGCTTTATTGCCAATCTGGGATTAACAGCTTAAAATGGGATTCAAAACAACTTTAAACAGGTTGGCACACAGGTTTTGACAATTTAAATGGATCAGATTTGAACTCTTGGTAGCAGAAGGATGATAGCCTCTTAGTGCTCTTTCAGTTCTGAAAAGTGTTACAGCTTAAAAGTTCTTGGAGGGCTTCGGGACGCCAATCTAGAGCAGCCCCTTGCAGAACAAGGCTGCTGGTCAAACACCAGGAACACAAGGAGCAGCAGGTCATGCAAATTGGAAGCAGCTCAGGAATGAATTGTCATCTGCAGCAGAAGTACAGAGTCTTGGAGGCTGAGACTGGAATGAATACTGCCTGTGGCTACTGGTCAAGTCCTGGAGGCTGGCTCAAATGAATTTCCTGCATAGGAACAATTCTATCCCCTGCCTGTCTTAAAGGCAGCCTTCCTTCAGTGAAGATGAGCAACTGGCTGGAGCCCAACCTGAAGTCTTCCTTTCTTTCTTCCTCTCTTGGTTCCTGCAGCAGTTCTGTCTCTGCAACCCACAGAACATCCAATTGTATGTACTGGGTACCCACTAGACCCTGATTGGCTGGATGTGGGTATGCAAATAAAGTGAAAAAGAGGACCAATCAGAGAAGAGTTGTTAAACCTGCTTGGGGAGGAAGAAGACTCTTAGTCCCACCAAAAAGTTGCTAAAAGTTCACAATCAGGTTGAGAAGACCGTCTACAGAAGCAGGGACATCTGAACCAGTTTTTGTCTGTCCCTGGTGGCTACAGGAGCTCAGTGGGGAGATTTTGGTCAGGCTTTTTTTTTCTTTTGTGGCAGCAAAATGTACAATTGTGTAACACTTGCAAGTGTGCTTGTGACATCCTGTGGCCCAGTGTTGCCTACAGGACATGACATGGCCATCAGAGAGAGGAGTATGGAACTGTGGCTCCAAGCTCTCTGCTTTATATTGCTAGAGTCTGGATGGGTGGCTGTGTTTAGAAAAGCAACCCAGGACCCTGAGGGCCAGAAAGGAAAAGAATGTGCTTTGAATAGGAAATAAGTCCAGGCTACACCACAACCCTGACCTTTGTCTTCAGCCATGTCCTGAAGGAATGGGACATGACCTTTTCAGGGCTGTTCTTACAGGAGACAATAAAAATCTGTCAGAAATGGCCACACTCTGCAGTGACGAAAGTGCCTCGAACAGTCTTGGCCCCATGAACTGAGTGCTGTGTAAACTGTGATGGGCTCAGTGGACCACAGAGGACCTTGCCACGACCTCTGTGAGAGACAAAGTTCTTTGTAAATTGCCACATCCCTGATAAGTCACAATGGGCAGGGGGAGCTGCTGAATGCCCTGTGAACCAGGAAGAGTTTCAGAAACTGGTGGGCCTCCCCCTCAGACCGCCGCGGCCTCCTAAGCAGCTTTGCAGCTGTCACATGCTCTGCAGAGTCCCCAGTCATCCATGCAGTGCCCTCTCCTGCACAGCACCTGGTAAACTACATGGCAGTCCACGGAGGACAAAGCATCTTCTAACCTGTCAGGTACCCTGTGGCGTGCAGACTGGAGGGACACCTTGTGAAGATAATACGGTATGCAAATGCTGGCGTGAGAATCTCAGGGTTTGTGAATAGTCGTGATCTTTATAAACGGCAAGCGACGGCTTGGTGTGCTGTGAGTGCTGCCAGTTGTGAGAGAGTTCTTCACCCCTGGGCCACTGTACTGCCCCCTGTCTTCTGCCCACCCACCTTAGAAGGGGCAGAACCAGCTGAGTCACAGCAGGAGGAGGCCAGGGACTAGTGAGAATTGGCTGCAGCCAGGTGCCATGTCCCACAGATTTGTGTGCTTAAATCCTTTGCTCCATGGCGATGGTGGTAGGAATGTGGGCACTGGGAAGTGATGAGGTCACAAGTACAGAGACTTCATGAGTAGAGTTCATAGCTAGAAGCTAGCGTACCCCTTCTGCTATGTGAGCACAGTGAGAGGCTGCCATCCATGAGGATATCATCTGTAAGTGTTACCAGGCACTGACTCTCCTGGCACCTTGGTGATGGACTGGCAGTTTTGAGGAGTGAGTGCCCTTTGTGGCAGTCATGTTTGCTGTGTAGGCTTAGCACTTTTGGAGCAGCCAGGATAGCCAGACTGAATGGCTTAAGCAGCATCTGCTCATCATCCCAGTTCTGGGGGCAGGAATTTGGATCCAGGTATCAGAGGGCCATAGTTCCTCTCAAGTTGTATTCTAGCCTCTCTTTAGCTTCGGTGACAGCATTACTCTGATGTGGTACTAGTCACATAGGATTGGGGGGTGCATTCAGTCCACAGCACTGTATGATGCCATCACTTCCTTGGCCTCCACTGCTGCTTTGCAAAGCCCTCTGTATCCTCTGGGCATTCTTATGCTCGGTGTAGCATGGACCAGGTAGCTGGTAGCATGGGAATGAAGGCTATGCAGCCTTTCACAGAAGCCAAGAAACTGACCTCCAGTGGTTTCCAGGGTCTCAGAGCAGGCAGTTCCTCCCTTGGCACAACTGGGAGGTAAAGTGTTTTGCTAGTCTGTCTAGGGTCCGAAACAGGGTGGGATAGCACCAAGTGAACCCTGGGCTCTCACCTCTGACCCCCATCTTATGCTTTCCTACCACCCGTCCCTGCAGCATGTCAACCTATATCACAAACCTGGATGATTCTGAGTCGGCTAAAAGAGTGGCATCTGAAGATTTCGAAGGAAGTGCCTCTTCATTGGCGCTTGGGGACAAAATGGATAAAACACCTTCTACCCCCCCTGAAAAGTATGTTTTCCCTATATCTCTAGTTGACAGATTAGGAATGGCTCATTATAGGGTCCCTAGCTTAATCACAGGCCACTACAGCTACCATAGCATGGCTTATGCCTTGGAAATCTGTGTCCCTCCAAGTATAGGTCAGCCCCTGATTTCCAGCCTGTTTTGCATTGTCTCATTGGGTGTCAGGGTTGTGCACTAGGAGATACACTTTGCGGCAAGGCTCCCTAGTCCAGACCCACCTGTCAGAAGGATGGAGGCCACCCCCAACTCCAGCAAGTTTCTTAGTGATGGTGACAGGGAACCAAATCAAAATTCTGTAGTGTTACTCTTTCCAGAAAGATGGAAAAGTGCTAAGATCAAGCTATGGATGCCACTGGGCCCCCAAGTTGGAGCTGTCCCCTGGCACTTCCCCTCTAGGGCCATGCCCTCATCAGCTGGGCCAGGCTCCCAGCCTGCTCACTTGATGCCCAGCACCTGCTTCTTCCTGTTGCATATTTAGGTCGAAACAGCCTGAGGTGGAACTGCAGCCTTACTTGAAGACCAGGAGGAGCAGTAAGAAGGGCAGTAACTGGAAGAAGTCAGGTTCTAAGAAGTGATGCTGGAAGAGCCAGTGATGCCCTCCCCACACCCAGCCCTACCTCCTGGTCTCCCACCACCCTTCAATAAATGTACATGCCTCCAGTGTCTGGGTGAGGAGGTGGTGGGTGGGACAGGCCCAGCTTTGACTCCAAGAAGGCCAGAGGACCCCCACAGCTAGTTTCAGGCTAGGTTCTTGGAAACTTGCTACCCCCAACTCAGAGCTTCCTCTGTGGCCAGGAGTAAGCCTGAATCGATCATTCTGGTGAACACATGTCTCATGGCCAAGGTCCTGCCTGCTCAACCATTCAGCAACCCTAGGGAGCCTCGGAAGGGGCTAGACTGTGGTTCTCATCCTCTGTCAAGTGGGAAAGACTTCTAAGACTTCTGATAGAAAGAAGATGAGAAGGGAGACACAGAAAGGGAGAAGAGACAGAGTGGTGGAAAGAGATGAGAGAGCAAGCAGGAATGAGGATGGAGGGGCAGAAAGGGATGACTAAGGAAGTGAGAGATAAAGACAGAAGTCGGCTGAAGGCCAGAGTCCAGCAGACACCTTGCAGGCTTCCATCACCATTTAGCTCAGCAATGGAACATAGGGCTGGACTGGATTCTCCTTTTTCTGGAGTAGGCCTGGAGTATCCTTATCAACATCCAGAGGCCCCAGGCAACAGTCTTCTGGAGTGCTGCCCTGTCCCTTACCTCTGAGAGAGCTGGATCTCCTACCACTGTGTGGTTGATAAGAGTTGTGTCCCCAGAGCAAAGATTGTGGAGGGTCTGCCTTGGTCTTTGCGCCTAGAATAGAGTTCAGGCCCCAAACTCCAGGTAGCATTTGGTGATGTATTTCACAGATAACCATTTGTGCTTCTTCAGTAACACATGCTTTTTCTATCTTAATTTTTTTTAAGGATTAGTTTTGTTCTTTGTTCATTTTTTTTTTCATTTTGTTTTGTAGCTTGAAAGATTTTTTGAGTTATATGTTTCTTCCCCTAGAAGTGTATTTGAAGTGGTCTGCCCTGTTCTTAGGCTGCATATGTTGGTATTTTCAGGCCTTGATGTTTGTTAGGGGGCTTAGAGCTCTAAGCATCCCCCACCCTTCCCCTCTAAGCACAAAGACAGAAGCAAGAAGGCAAGGGGCCAAAGTTCTGTTCTGTCCTCACAGATAGGCACCCCAATACCCGGTGAAGGTTGGAACCAAGGCCTCTGCTCAGGCTAGAGTCTGAAATGAAGCCTCTGACCTGCACCTCTCTGACCTTCAGGCCATGTGCTCAGCTATGCTCAATCAAGCAAATATGCTAAGCAGTCAGTTCTGTGTGCACCAGGAGCAGAGGCAGGCCAGGTCCTGGCTCCCTGCAGGGTGCTGCTCATCACCCTGGAGGGCTGCCTGTGAACAGGAACACCTCCCACTGGCAGAGCAGGCAGTGAATGTCCAGGGCAGCACTGTCAGATTGCTCCTGGAGGAGGAGGAGAGGAAAGTCCCTCTCCATGGAAATGCCAGGAGAGAGAGGTGGGCTTTCCTCCACGATGGCTCTCACTAGGCAGGAAGCTAGGTGTCTGAGCTCTTTCTTGATTAGCACAAGGCTTCTTAAACTTTAGCTACTTAGGAGTAAGAAATTTTTACATGTATGTAAAACAGGTATGCAAATCAAATATTTACTGATAATAAGTAATAAAGAAATGTATTTTAAAACAATTCTTTGACATATATGATTTTTCATTTATTAAAAATAAAAGCAAATTTGCATTCCTATGCGATGAATTGCTTATGTATTTTATATAAGGAATTAAATCTTGCCTGAATATTCAATGCAATAAAAGTTAGAACATCACGACACTTTGCAGAGTTGATAGTTATTCTGATTTTATAATCATCAGCTACTTTAAGCATAAAGTGGCAGAAATACATTTAGAGCCATTTTAGAAATGGCCAGGAAATTTTAAAATAATCCATTATGTCCAAGTAAGGTTTGTCCTAGGGATACAAAGTTGGTCCAATATCAAACACTAGTCAGCATCACTCCCCATATAATAGACTAAAGAAGAGAAACCAAATTCGAACTAACTGCACTGGTGAAGAAATAGAGCAAACCAAAAATAGATGATCAACATCTTAACCTCAAAAGGTTGATAAGAAAAAACCCCAGCAAACACTTCCTTCATAGTGACTCTTCAGATGCTTTGCCAGTGAGGTTAGATAGAAGACAAGCCTACCACCAGCACCACCATGACAAAACACAAAGAAAGCCCGGGGCTGGGACCTGAGAGGAAAGGATCAAACTGAGCTGTTGCGGGTGATACCCTTATCTGCCTAGAAAGCCAACAGAATCAATGCTTAAACATCAGAGCCATTTGATAACTAGGTAAAAGTATGAAGCCACTTTCTTACCACCAAAGGTCTAGTACCAAAATGCAGAAGCAATGATGTGGGGTCCTAAGCAGAATGGCATCCATCAATGCTTTGATCCCAGAGTGAACTGAAGCTGAGAGGAGAAGCCCAGCATGCCTACCCAAGGCCACAAGACACATCATGAATCCAATGTTCCTGGATACAGAGGTCCCGATGCCTCTCACCTAGGACCCTTGAGAATCTCATAAAGAAAAGCCACTCCCTACACTCTCCCTCCCAGCTATGCTGAGACTGGGCAAGCCACTTTTGGCTCTGGGTCTCCATGTCTTCATCCATAAAATGTGGTGTTCTGGCATAGTAACCTTCCAAGGATCTGGGCTGGACCGGATACAATGCAGAGAAAGCCTTTAGCTTGGGCTTAGAAAATGTATATGAGAACAAATTATTTAAATTATTAAGCACACACCCCCATTGCCACTTTCCACATCAGCAGGACCTACCTATGTGTAGATTGTCTCCCAGGCACCAGCATCAGCAAGGGTTAAGGAGCTTGGCTACTAGCCAAGCAGAAATAGTGTTGGCCTTGAGCGACATAACATTTCTCTATCTGTGCAATCTCCCGGCCCCCAGCCCAGCCTTTGGAAATGAAAGCTCAGCCTAGCTGAGGCTCCTCTGCCTGCTGCATCCTAATGATCTCCGCCAGGGAGAGTGGGTAACCCCCTCTCAGCTCCTCCAGCTCCCCAGCTCAAAGGAAGCCCTGAGCTGCCTGCCCTGAAGCTGTCAGCTCACATGTGGGAGAAAGATTGGGTTGTACCCACTGCTGGTCCATTTGGAGGGAAGAAAATAGAAAGGGGGGGGGGGCTGAGAGTGGTCCTGGGTGGAGAACAGGTGCTGAGGAATCCACAGGCCAGGTGCCCTGGGTCTTAGCTCATCCTGTGGATCTGGGCAGGGGGCTTCCCACTGCAGATTATATGGCCTACTAATGAGTTGAAAAATCCATTTGGAGGATGTGATCCACATTCTGAAGAAGAAAACCGGACTAAAGGGAATGACACAGTGCATGTAGAAAGGTGGCAGGCTTGATTTCAGCTGCCCTGAGTGTAATATCTGAGACACAGGCTGTGAAGCTCACACCACCCGCTCACCCCAGCCATCTGTGCCTGTGACCTCGGGTACTTTATTTAAACTGATTAATGTTGGAGGGCCTAGTTTATTGTGGGTGGTACCATCCCTGGGAAGGTGGTTCTGGGTCATATAGAAAAGCAGGCTGGGCAAGCCATGAGGAACAAGCCAGTAAGTATTCCTCCATAGCCTCTGCCTCAGTTCCTGCCTCCAGGTGTCTGCCTTGAGTTCCTGCCCTGACTCCCCTTGATGACAGACAGTGGAAGTGTAAGCCAAATCATCCTTTTCTTCCCCGGGTTACCTCTGGTCATGGTCTTTATCACAGACATAGAAAGCAAACTAAGAGTTTGTGTGGTGTTATGTGCACACGTGAGTGAGTGTACACAGCTGTGATTGCAGAGAGGCCAGAGGAAGACATGGGGTGTGCTACTCTATCATGCTTCACCTTATTCCCTTGAAGACAGGAGTCTCTCACTGACCCAGAGCTAGGCTGGTGGCCATTGTCCTAAGAGCTTTGAACTCGGGTCCTCGTGCCTGCCTGCACAGCTGGTGAGCCATCTCCTCAGTCCAGATTTGGTCATTCTAACGGGCATGTAGTGGTACCCCATTGTCTTTTAAATTGTGTCTCCCTAACGAGTATCTTTCTACAAGTCATTTGCCACCTGTATCTCTTCCTGTTTTCTCAAGACAGATTTCCTCTGTGTACCTCTGGCTATCCTATAGCTCACAGAGATCCACCTGCCTTGGCCTCCCTAGTGCTGGGATTAAAGGTGTGAGCTACCACCACCTGGCTCCATATCTCTTCTTAAGTGGAGTGTTTGTTTGGGTGGTTGGTCAGTTTTGTTAATGAGAGTGTTTTTTCTTCAGCAGTATTTATATTTATATTCATACTATCTATATTTATATTATTCGTGTTTATGTATAAACTCCCCCATGGCTGGGCCTTGGGCGTGCTAGGAAGTGCTCTACCTCTGAGCTTCAGGTTCAGCCCTTAGACAACAGTCCTTGATTGGACATGGCTTCGGCAAATATTTCCTTACAATCTGTGGCTTGTCTCTTCATTGTCTTGGCATTGTGTGTTGCACAGCAGAAAAACTTTAGTTAAGTCCAGCTTGGCAACTCTTTCTTTCATGGGCCACACTTTGCTGTTGTAGCTAAACCATCATTGTTGTGATCAATGCTATTTGGATTTTCTCGAGTTTTGTAGCTTTGCTTTTGATGCTGCAGCCTCAGCTCCATCCCGAATTAGTCTTTGTGAGAAGCTTCAGTCCTATGCAGATTCACTGTTTGGTACTTGCCTGCCCAATACTACTTTCACACTTTCTCCATCATGGCGCCTTTGATCCTCCGTGAATGGATGGTTGACCTCATTTTGTGGGTTTAGCTATGGGTTCTCTGTTGTGTTTCATTGATCTCTTTGCTTGTCCTTCACCATGGCCACAGAGACTTGATGTTAGCTGTGATACAGTAAGTATGTCTTGAAGTCGGGGGGTGTCTCCAAGCTTTGTTGTTCTGTCATTTTTCAGAAGTGGAAATTAAGGTACCAAGATGTTAGGTCATTTGCCCAAAGCCACATGGTCGCAGCCTTTCTCACAGCTGGCGAGAATGCAAGCTGATGCAGCCACTTGAGAAAGCATTG